GACAAACAACCCTGATTTGCAAGGAATTGTTAAGAACTGGGTTTACTTTACAAGTCGGTGCACTCACCTCCTTGAGTTTCTGGCTATAATAGTCCATCTGAGCCTCCTGACTTTTAGCCCCACTATAAATAGTCCTGTATTCAGTTGGACACTTAATAGCATTGAGATGTGCTTGGCTACGAAGCAGAGGATGAGGGAAACTGCATATAGCATCGGACGCTCACACGGTACCGACGTCGAGGAGCAAACATTGCAGAGAGGAGTGCTGCATAAGGGATACCTTGTCTGCTGATTTACTCCCTATCCCTATTTTAACCACTGTCAACAAGATATAAGGGCAGTTTCTGTTTACACTGAGGCTTCTTTATGCTGCTCTATCCACACCCTAAAGTGGCATAAATGTCTCCTAAGTGCCTTAAAGTAGGTCCTTAGTATAAATGAGAACCAACACCACCGTTTGCAAAATGGGTTTGAAAACAGTGCCTGGGTGCATCCTATAAATGAACATGGGTTTCTGAAGGAAAACACACATGAGGGATGTATGCCCAGTGCTATACATAGGCACCAGCAGCTCAATGCAGGGTTGGGAAGAGGCAAGGCAGGAGGAGGAGAAGAGGCACCGAGAGGTCTCACCTGCCAACAAAGAGGAGAGATGAGCGGGGGAGACATCCAGGCTCCTTCGGGCCCCAGGGTCACCAGTCCCAGTTCAACATGAGCCTCTGAGCTGCTTGTGTCCAGCTGTGGCTTCAAACAACCTTCAAGTGACCTGAATCCTTCAGCCACAGAGAGAACAAGTGAAACCAGGGGTGCCAGATCCATTCCACCCACTGACCACTACCCTCACTCATGTTCACGAGGGGTTTTCTCTCCTTTTCCCCCTCCACCTCCCAGTTTTTATATACTTTTCATTAAAGCATGAACAAGAGTAATACCCCCAGTTGAAAAGGAAAAAAAAAAAAACAAAAAACAATAAATCCGCTTTGTTTTGTCCCAAGTCTTCTTTGCTTACTGGTTTCTAACATCTAACATTCAGACAGAAGACACAGCTTTGAAGGTGACACCACTTATCTTGGCCAAGCAGAGTATCATGCAACAGGTCAAGTGGGAGGATACAAGTCAGGAAAACCAGGTTCAAGGGCCTGGAGCTAATGCAGAGGACAGAGAGATCTTGCCCAGAAAAATCAGCGTTAACACTTCGGTTAATGCACTGTTTTCCTCCCTAGGTTAACCAGGACCTAAATTTTGTGACATTATTTTAGGGCATTTCATAGCGCTAGCAAATAGGAAAGCAAATAGTGGCTCCAAATAGCCCTGGAATAATACAAACATCTCTATTTCATATTTATATATATGTTTTGCATGTAATGGAAAATATAAATATATCCCAATCTTTTTTGTGTGTGCAATTGGAATTTTTCTCCGTGGTAAGACTTTACTCAGAGACAAAAGCCATGTGGCCCTCCTTTTCTGGAGTCTGAATTATAAATCTCCTTATCATCTTCTTGCTTCTTTAACAAAGACACTATAGAATTTCTATGAAATATGGCCTGGTATGATCTGTAGTGCTGTTGGCAAGTACGAGCTTGGAAAAAAAAAAGAAGGGGAATATAAAAAAAAAAAAAACTGCATATTTTCTCTTTCTTTTTTTCCTGTTAAAAGATTAGTGTGCTTGTAGTGCTGTTGGCAAGTATGAGCTTGGAAAAAAGAAAGGGAGGGGGTATAAAAAAAAAAAATCTGCGTATTTTTTCTTTCTTTTTTTTTCCTGTTAAAAGATTAGTGTGCATTAACAGCAGCCTAGGCAAGTAGAGGCAGGTCTGACTTCAGTTTTAACTCACGACACAACTCCATAAAACATTTCTTCCTATCCTTTAATTCACTTAGACCTTTATACTGCAGAGTCTGAGACATACGTAAAGGCAGACACTGCTTTGCCCTGGCGTTCCATCTCAGGAGGATGCATCTCATTCCTAATAGGGGTATTAAATTGGTTTTTAATGGCTGGAAACTGAGCCCTTTTACTTATTTGCCTGTAGAAGAGGCCCTGCCAATGGCTCAGCACATCCTGATCTTACTCGGGCTCTCCAGGGGCTACTTTAGTCTCATGAGTAATTGCAAATAGCTCAGGCTCACCCTTCTAAATACAACCTTGGCTCTGGCTGAGCAGTAAAGACAAGGGGGGACATTCATTCTGGGAAGATTTTTATTTCACAAATAATTCAGAAATCAAAAGAAAACAGAGGGGGGGGAAGATACTTTACAATTCTGTATTTAGAAAAAAAATTATAGTTTATAAACACACTGCCCCTCGAAAAACATGCAAAGGCACACAAAAAATTTACAAGAAACTTTTATACATAAGTAGTAGTAAAATACATCATTTTTCATAGAAAAAAAAAGCAACTCTATGAACTGGCCCTAAATATTTAGACTGCACAACCGACTACATACACGACTGGAGAATCATCAATCAGCTGTTGGCCGAAGCACCGCTGACTTCTTAAAAGGGACAAATTGCGAGGGCTAAGGGGACCATCTGCTGAGCTAGGGTCTGAGGAGGAGCATATCTGGTGATCCAAAGGTAAGAACATGCTGTGTCCTTAAGCTGTACCAAAATACATTAGACCGAGTAATGTTTTGGTATCACAGACATAAAATATACGGCTTAGGACTGGAACCGTCCCACCTATATATGAACAGCTAGCACACATGATTGAAAGTAAGTGATATATCATGACTGCCTTGGAGGACCTGATCTCCCCTAATGCTGGTGGAGGTATGTTCAGATCAATAGCACCCAGGACCTCAAATAATATTTGTGTAGTAAAGTCACAATTCCTCTTTTGTACAACAAATATAAAAATAAACAGATACAGACTTAAATAACATCAGTTTCTAAAAATCCAAACCAGTTGGCTGAAGATAAAAATATGCAATCGTAACTTCAATTAGGCATTTTAGGAAATTCTGTTGGAATAATAATTCTTCCCTCGCCCCCCCTTTTTATCAGGTAGATACATCCTAAATTGGCTGGATTATTCTATGTGCTCTACGCTGATCCTCCAAGACTTTTCTCCAAGAACCTTCTCCTCTTGCCCATCTCCTTCCATCATTTTACAACATCAATGGTTGTCATGGACAGCATATTAGAGGTGGCATCCTACTTAAGCTCTCATGAGCTTTATGTGCTTTTCAAATTCCCATGAAGTCAGTAGGAAGGACTCCACTAGATATCTGCTTGCATCTACGACACCTCCCAAGTTATAGGAAATGCACAGTGCTGTGGCTAACATTTGGCCTGGGATGGCCACAGTTTCATGCCTCAGCATTTAACGGGCTTGCACTGAACCATATGGAGCATCATTAACCACAGCAGGCAGAAACGGGGAAGCCTTTTCTCACTGCCAAGATCTCAGACCCTTCCAACCAGCAGCTTTTCTAAGATTTGTTCCAGCTGTTTTTAACATCAATTTACCTAGCAAGAAAAAATAGTTAATTCTTTCCTATCTAAAGCAAATACTGTACACCTTGTAAGATGATACCATATAAACAAAGAAGACACATTGAGTCGTATTTCTATATCTGTTACAAAGGAAGTTTTGCTGTGCAGAACTCACAGAGACAGTACAAAGCAGTCCCAACTTTGTATTTTACAAAAGGCTCCTTCCAGCCCAGATTCCACAGAGAAAGAAGCCTCAGCTGCGAGACAAACCGACTGATAAATGCAATTTCCTTGTTGATTTCATGGTGTTCATGGAATTAAAGAAGGGTTTAATCATATAAACATTTTTGGTCTCTGTTTTGAAACAGCTTGACGAGATGGCTTTCTGTCTCCCTAGTTTAAATTGAACACAGCCTGAGCCTAAGAGCAGCTATGAGACATCTGCCAAATAAAGTGAAATATTTTCCCATTTGTTATACAATATTATAATCAAGTTGCTGAGCAGAGGGACTATGGGTTTATATGAACTGAAGAACTAAAGTTTACGTTGCCTTCCCATGACTGATGAAGTTACTGGATGTGTGTGCATCACAGGAGAACTGGATGCATGGGCACATGAAGTCTAACAACCCATTTCAAATACAAAGTAAGGAACACTCTCGTGCTTTCAAGAGCAGCTTATGCTAGCCTATTCTTTTGGCTCACTTTAATTTCATTCAAATAGTCTTGGAAGTGCATTTGGATGCTTGCTGAGACATAAATAATGAAATACTAAATATTATTATCACCACACCTGTGTGTTTTACAAACGCAGCACCCTGGATGCCCAGTGCGCCAGGATACAACATTTGCATTGCAAGTCGGGTTCTACAAAGCAAATGGGAGGAAACTCATCGAGCCCGATTCATCTTATATATCCAAGATCTCAGAACTGCACACACAACGAAGAACTTCACCAAGGTAAAGTGAACATGCTTCATAAGGATGCAACCATTCCTAACAAAAATAAGACTAATTTTATCACTGCTTGACTATTACAGATAAAACAACCAGCACTGCTGTATAAAACAATACACTGCATTTAACTGAAATTTTATTTTTAAATGGTATGTAATATAATATGAGATGTGCCAGCACAGGAGCCCCAATTCACTGACTTCTTATAGGTTACCAGACTTACAAGGTACCTGCAAATGTTTGACCAGCAAACACTAAACCTGCTGTTTGCATTATCCAGTGGCCTCATTTTCTGCAGCGAGGGACTCTGCCACCACCTCCTACCCTGCTCCATCCTGCAGCAAACCTCAACGTCAGGCTGAAAGAAACGTCCTCTCCCGTCATGCTGCTTAGCTCGATGCAACGCTCCAGCAGCCTCACTCAGTGTCACACTGCTAGGAAAACACTCCCTTTGCCCTTCTTTTATACACAAAACACCAAAAAAAGACTCAAAACATTCTCAAGGCCAACTCTCCCTTGTTGGGGCACGCAAAAGCAGATGCTTCAAACTCTAAGATGCCACCCGAGGGCCAGGCAGAGGCCACCGCGCCAGCCGTGCGTTGTCACCTCGGTTCTGTGCAGCACACCTCTCCTGTAAAGTGGAGTCACAACAGTCTGTCATTGCTGAATGCCCCTAGAAAAAACGAAAACACAAGACGAAAAGATACAACGCTGAACTGGTGCCATGAGATGCGAACAGCTGAGTCAGAAGCTGTTGTCTTTTTTTTTTTTTCTTCTTTTTTTTTTTCCTTTTTCTTTTTTTTTCTTGTTTAATTCCCTGAAAGAGTTCGGCAAGCAGGGTACGTTCAGAGCTGATGCCATCAGAGGAGCCTTCCTGTCTCTCCAGATCAAGGGAGTGCTCTCCCAGAGAAACTTGCACCTTTCCCGGGAATTTACTGCTTCACAGCAAAAATTCGGAAAGCATTTCCATCCAAAGGGCTCTTCAAGCTGGAGAAGAGAAAGGAAAGAAAAAAGTTTAATATTCCTTACCTTTCAACACAGATCTGAAAGTAGCTACTCACTTGTGCACGGTGGGAATAGGACAATACGCTCTATTTGTTTGCTTCTCAAAATTCACAGTGACATCGCTAAGTTGGGCATTTCCAGCCCACCAGCCTGACTAGCTGATATCTGCTGACTTTGACATAAAATTGAACACACGATCAAAAATATGAAAGAAAGCGCAAAGACAGACATCTCACCTTTCAGACTGGACTCCGTTCCTTAAGGAGCCAACATAGATTTTCTTCTTTTCTACAGGCATCACATCCACAAAACCACCTTCTTCATCTGGAATGACTCCCGCATGCACTGCTGTTTTGCAGATACTGGAGCTCTGAAAAATATTTAATAGTTTTTACTTACTAAACATCCAGATTTTATATCTGGGGATGCTGAGATCCAGGACATCATCCAGAGCCAAAGATGACTCAAGGAGAACTCTCCAGGCAGTGTCTCCTACTCCTCGTGTCCATGCCAAGAGGGTAGGGGGAACATCCCTTTGCTAGTGACCAGCCACTTCCAGCTCATTTCTTGCTGGAAAAGCAGACCTTTTTGCTAATTAAAACTAAAACAATCGATCATTTGGGAGAGTTCAGGTCCTTCTTTCTAGGAAATATCCAGTGCCATGCACCCATCCAGTAGTCCAGCCTCGAGACAGACAAATAAGTCATAACCCCATAAGAGCCTGAGGGAAACTACACCTCCTTGCAAGTTGTTCTCTTATTCTGATCTACTCAATGCACAGTCAGGAGGAGCACAAAATACTAACAAATGATGACTAAGTTCCAGAGGCATCCAGGAAGCAGAGTAACAGCAGAGAAAGACTTAGGCATAGTATAAACTTGGCAACCAACCCTCTAAAGGATTTATACGTAGCTAGCTCGAATAACAACGAATGAAAAAAAAAAAACATCCCTAGCAGAGAGAACTGCAGCAGGTGAAAATCCCAAGTCCTTGAACTCCTTGATTGCTTGAAAAAAATAAAATTAAATTAAATTAAAACTAAGAGTAGAACCCACAGTGCCCTTGCCAGCGCCGAGGGCAAACATTCCCATCGTGCATGCACAATACAGAGCGTGCTGCTTTCTTCCCTCAGCCTTATATGGCAGCTTTGCCTTGTCCCCTATATATTTATCACTCCGGATCGCCTATCTCTTGGCAGCCCTGGCAGCTTTAATTGCCAATTTGGTATTTTGCTTCTATATATGGTCAAGGGAGAAAGGGAACGCTGCGTTGGAAGATACGCCGTGAATTTGCCCTAGTATGCAATGGGAAATCTGGAAATCTAAAACTGGCTTGTCAAATTAAACCATCCTGAATTAATTTGCAAAACACCCCACTGGGAGACACCCTAAAAGATGTTCTTATCGAAGCATCCCCTTTTTAATTTTTTTTCCAGGACTCTCTGCTCTGCTGCTTCCCCAGGGCTTTGACCAAAATGCTTTTTATTCCTTCTCCTACACAGTCACTCCATCACAGTGCTGGATTATTGCCTTCTGCCACACCAGCCCTGGCCTGTGCTTCAATGAGCTGCTTGCAGAGCCTTTGCAAGATGAGAAAAAGTGCAAAAATAAAGGTTTTCCCCCTCAAAATCAAACCTATGACAGCGGCACTGCCAGCACAGCAGCTCCACAGAGCTCCCGGACTGCAGAAGCAAACTCTGAGGCACCAACCATAAAATTCCAATACATTTTATAGTGGGCTATAACCATCAATGACTATGGACGAAACCAGCAGTGATTTCCTCATTAGTGTTTAATTAAGTTTAATCATTAAGGTTTATTTCTCTGGAGAGCCCAGCAATCCAACGTGGTGTCCTCTGATGATAAAAACCTGCCTGTTGTGCAAGGGGCCCATCCTCCTCCACCTAATCCCCGCACAGATGTGAGCTCATGACCAGCATTAACCACCTCCAGAACAGGGGGCCTGGCACTCCTGGCAATTATCTGTCCTTACCTCCTTTTTCTCACTGGAAAAGTCATCCATGGCACGTGGCTATAATCAATCCTATCCTACAATCAATCCCACAGAAGCAGGTACCTCTGAGTATCCCATCACCTTCAGAGCAAACCCACCTATGATACTACCAGGAGTTACCAACACTACAGGCATTGTAAAGCAGCAAAGTGCCTTTGAATATGCACTTTTTTATGAGTCAGCCCTGGAAGTCCTAATTTCAGGTGATCCAGACTCTCCGTCTGAGGCTGAATTTTATATCTTCTACCTGCCCCTGGTAGATCAACTGCCTCTCCATCAATTGTGCGCCAGCAGAAATGCACACAGACTAAAATTTCTCTAAAATTTGGCAGTAGAGACATCTCTTCCCTTAAGGCAACATCAAATAATATAGGCGACATTTTTTCTATTTCCTAGCCAACTGCTTTTCAACACAAATTTCATCCCTGAAAGGATTTTTGGATACAATTCCCTATCCCCTGCACCACTTGAACCTGTAAACTCTGCACACAGGCTGTTCTCATGGAAAAGTAATTCCGTCCAGGGGATAGGCCTGGAATTTGGGCACAAACTTTTCCCATAGCAAGTTTTCTTACATTTTGTTCAGCTTGTCTCTTACAAATACATATTTCCCAAGCATTTGAAGCATAGCCTAAAATAACAGTTTAATTTGATGAGTAAAAAAATAAAAATAAGTAAAGCCAGTCAAAATGCATTTGCAGTATATAAACACATACTAGGATAGTAGTTCCTATGCCCCTTGTATAAAAATCAGAATTATTTCATTTAAAAAAATAAAAAACGGTTCTTCATGTCATAACTTTGTCCTTTGCAGCAAAGCAAACTTTCACATGCCATCCTGGGATAATACAAATATAGAATCTATCTCAGGCTGAAAGTTCAGTGAATCAGATACAGTTTCAGGGACCAGGCAAGCATTTTTGTCACCAGTGCTTGGACTGTTTAGTTGCCAGAGCATTTTGCAAATTGACGATTCAGAAGAGATGGGAAAAGACCAGAGGGCACCTTGGAAGGGAGCACAGATTTGCACCGGGGCAAATAAATAATTTATTAAACAAGATACAGCCAGGGCCATGAAGGTGCCCATTCTGGATGTGAAGCCAAGAGGCCTCCCAGAAGATTAGCACTTGTCTCATCCTTTTTATTGTCCGTTTTAATTATTCCTTGATTAATTCACAGCATCCCCTCCTGGAGGGCATTCTGCACACTCAGCGCGCTCTGTGGGAAAAGCCTTTGCCCAAATTCCCACTGCTCGGCACGTGGGTTTCCCTTGTCAACCTTCAGCCTCCAGCTTTAGGCTTTTTTGTCATCAATGCCTCTCCCCTTGCAATATATTCCACAGCTACCTCAAATGCATTTTTTTTTTTTTTTCCCTGCAGGTTTCCCCTTTTTATTTATTTATTTACCCCTTTTCCTACCAAATGCTCACTCTCCTAAAATTTAAGCACTTTCCTTATTAGGCTCTTGCCATACTATTGGCACAGTAGTCCAGAAAAAAAGGCTAACCAAACCCTTTAGGGAGTGGCCAAATATATATATTTCCCTTCTCCCAAAAAATCATATTCCGTGCTTCAGTTTATGAAACATAGTCCCTAGGGGAGTATGGTAGGAAAGAGAGGTCATGATTCAGTAAAGGACACAAATTCTCTTGCGTCAGTAGGGATCGGGAAGCAACATGCTCGGGATGGTGGGAATCACCTAATTCCCTTCTAATCTCAGGCCTTATCCCATGCTTATCTAAAGGAGGTTTCTCCTCAGCAAGAGAAAGGAAAAAAAAGAAGTTGTTTTCCATTTACTGTAAGGTCAGAGCACACACAAGTACTGCAGGAGAGCATCAGCAGTATCAGTTTGTCTATGGTAACTTATCTGTGTGGCCCTATGTTTAAAAAGAAAAAAAGCTGTCTCAAGCAAAATAAAAGCTGCTTAAAAATCTTTTTCCCCATGGCTTTCCTCATTTTTTAAAATATGTTTTCTCTGCTCATTTTTCCCAGGAACCTGAGGAGCTCCATGACGACATGGAGCAAGGCCGGGTATTCACATGCTCCCCAGGAGCTGCCACCTGCCCATCAATTCCCAAAGGCCAACTATGGGTCTACCCATGCCTTGAGTAGAGCCATCTCGCCTAGACTGATCCCTGATTGATCCCAGCCATGATCCCACGAGGACCTGAAGAACAACCCTGCAATCCAGGCTTTGCAACACGCATATTTGCCAAGGAAAGGAGCATACTCACATCTGCGTAGACATTGGTGCCAAACACCGGTGCCCAGTACGATGGTTCGTCTTTACAGTGGGCTGGACAATAAATCCTAGAAAACAAGTTATTCATATTTATTCTCTATATAAAGACTCAACAGGAAAGCAAGTTGCATTCCTGGAAGATTTCAAGTGCCTGCATCTGGTCTGCAGGTGGCAACAGTGAATCTAATTATTTGTTCCCCTCAGATGACATTTGGTATTTACTGCAGGACTGCGAATAGAAATCTTTTGCAACCCATAAAAGAGGGATTGATCTTTTATGACATTTTCAAAGGGGAGCTTTCTATGTTTTTGCACTCAAGGTTGCGCGTGCAATTAGTTGCATGTGTTGGTTCCCTCCACCCCATCGATTCCACCTGCGCGTAACAGCTTTCCAGAGCTAAGTTCTCCCACATTTTAAGATGAAAAGGAAAAAAGGATTAGAAAAACAGCAAGTGCGAGAGAATAAAGGGAAAGCTGCACGCCATGGGCTGTGGCTTGCTGAAACGGGCCCCGTTGCTTGGCTGCGCCTACCTCGGGCAGTGCGACGCCGGCTTTTTGAACGGGCACAGCTCAGCCACCGTGGAGTAGCAATCCAGCGTCTGCGCTGCAGGAACAGACCAGAGAGGCCAGTTATTGGCCCTGTTATTTCAGCTTCCTCCCCCTCACTCCCCGTGGGAAGACAGGATGGTTGGTGGTGAAACGGCCCGTGTTGGGTGATGGATGGCCGGACTAGATCTTAGCTGTGATATAATCCCTTAACATGACTGCTTAAAGTGAAGAAGGGTGTTGGATGGAATGATCATAGAATCATGGAATTGTTATGGTTGGAACAGACCTTCAAGACCATCAAGTCCAACTGTAAACTCATCACCACCATTTCTGCTAAACCACGTCCCTGAGTGCCTCACCTACACGTTTCTTGAACGCTGCCAGGGATGGTGACTCCATCACTTCCCCGGGCAGCCTGTCCCAATGCTTCACCACTCTATCCATGTAGAAATTTTTCCTAATATCTAACCTAAACCTCCCCTGGCACAACCTAAGGTCATTTCCTCTTGGTCTATCAGTAGTTATATGATGTTCTCAAGCATGCCTTAAAACTCTGGCAAAAACGGTTTCTGCTTGGCTTTATAAACTTACTTGTGACTTTGGAAACCATGAATGCGTTTGAAGGCTTATTTTTCCTGTAAAACAAGTAGAAAAAAATAGATTATTAAAAATTAATGTTCTGGAATTACTACGTCCACATATAAGCAACAGAGGTGGAATATCTTCTATCTAAACCAAACCAAAGGCAAGATATTTTTTCCGAAAAGTCCGTACCGGAAGGATTCGACACCATTTCTGGTGGACTTGACGAACGCCGGCGTCCGGCCCTTCCTCGTGATGTCCACGAGTCCTCCCTTGTTGTCCAGGATGCCATAGTGGATGGCAGCGCGGCAAATGCTCGACGACTGAAGGGGACAGAACAGACCACACGTGAGATGGACCTCGGCCACGGGGCAACACCGACCACCAACACCATGAACAAGCAGGGAGGAATAAAACCACCATCCAGTCGCCAAGGGGAGAATAAACCAAGGGAGTTTGTGGCTGTTACTGCTGTTAAACATTACCCGTCCAGCATAACTTTACTCATTTTTTTGTCTTCTCACCACCACTTGGTTGGATGACAATTTTTTTTTAATTAATTAAAAATCAATAACGAAATTGAACATTCAGAGATAATTTAGAAGAAAAGTGGTATCTATAGGAAATATTTCCAGTTCTCAACAAAATACTAAAATACAAAAAAAATCTGCTTGGAGGTAGCAGGTTTATACAGTCCCAGAGGCTGTGAGGTGGGGGCTAATTCAAGATCCACCAGATTGTCCCAAACTCTCTTTAGTCACAACTTTTCACAGTGTTTTTGGCATAGAGTTTCTGTTCAGCTGTCTATACAAAACAGATCCGTATGAGAATTCCTGTCCTTCTCTCTCCACGGATTTTAGGATTTTAATCGCACATTAAGGGCATTCATGACAAGATCAGTTCTGGAATTCTGGAATCACTTTACCTTTCCAGATTTTTTTTTTTAATTCACTACAGAGGAAAATGCAGATAATCTTTATTAGCACATTTTGCAGCAGCGCAAGTGGAGAATCTGAAAACCAAACGACACTATAATAGTTGGCATTTCCCTTTTCTGTTACTACCACCAATCCCCACAAATTGCATCTAGGAGCTATTAAAAGGTACTTACACTCTCATAATAAAATGTTCCAAAGATCTTTCCCTTACTGTACAGGCAGCCAGCTGGGCACAGATACCTAGCAAAGATATATATCTTTGAGGGTGGCAAAAATACAATTCAAGAAAAACAGACTTTGACTCTATTTCATTTAATGGTCATTCCATTCATTTCACGTAATTCTTCCATTTAAAAACAAGATTGCAAAATAGCCACTTTTTAAAAACTATTTCTCCACCCTCCTTAAAGAACCCAACCAATATTTATATTCTGTGGATTTGTTTTTTCTCCAAGTGATAAACTGTCCCGTTCTTCACCAAAACCTTAACCAGATATTCTTGATTGGTTGGCAGGCGAGAAGCCATGAATTATTCATCTGCCTTGGACAGGACTGGGACACATGAGATGGTTCCAAAAATGACTTTGCCAAAACTTATTAAATGATTTTGGACACCTGGAGCTGTGTCCAAAATTGCTGAAATCTTTTTTTTAACTGCAAAAAATAAACGGAGCCACCTTAAGGCTAAACCTGGCTGAGTGCTTTGTTTAAAGAGAATGAAAGCTTTTGCTAGGTCTTGGGTAAATCCTTTGAAGGGAATACCTAGGAATACCTTTGTCAGAAATTTCAACAATAATACACAGGCTACACCCTGTTTGCAAGAACCAGCCAATTTTTAGACTGTTTCTTTTCTGATCTGATGCAAGAGAGTCCATTGAAGTTCTACCTGTTGCATGTTGAGCCTCTGCATTTGTCCCTCATCTTGGTTTCACAGGTAATGACTTGTGCTGGGGAAGAAAAAAAAATACATATATAGCAAATAAAATGTGAGGTGCAAGAGGAAACACTGCAAGGAACAGAATGCCAGAGAAAATCAGGTTTGTGCATCTGTAGCCTTTTGAGTACGACACAGGTGTTTTCTTAAATATTAGTAGGGAAGAATCGTTTGACAGCGGAAGGCTTTGATTTACAGTCCAAGGTTTGCAGGCAGAGCCCTCATTTTCCATTTAATTATAGGCTCTGAAGATGGTAGCAGATAAACTTTGAGAGGATGTGGTTATTTCCTTCCCCTCCATATCTGGAGAGCTCTCTTTTAATTAACAGTGATGAGAAAACGAGAATGAAAGCACTAATAATCCCACGGATAACTGCAGAAAATTTCCCAGGCAAGGAACAGAAAGGGAAAGAAAAAGAGAGAGAAAAAAAAAACACCTAAAATGCCCAGACAGTTGTGAAGAGAGTCACTGTTGAGCTTAGCATGTTTTATATGTGGCATATAACCAACGTTTGCTGAAATGACTCCTGATGTGGGGACCTTCAGTTCATGGGTGCTCAAAAGGGACATCAAGCACAACATATGGAAGGGCCTGAGGGGCTTTTAAATCTGCAAATTGCCATGCACATCCCCTTCCCTTCTACCCAAACCTCCTCCCACTTGGGTTTTTAATAAAAAACCCCCCACCTCACCCTGTGGAGGTGCTTTAAAACCCAGAGGAGCTGAAAGAACAAGATGCCGTCTTACTCATGTAGCTGTCCACGGCGACCTTCTTGGGCTTGACAGGCTTGGTGGGCTTGTTCTCCACGCTGGGGAACCACACGGGCTTGTGCTCTGCCACCTGAGAGGTCTCCACTTCGTTGGTCTCCTCTGTCTCGGGGATTTGGGTATCCTCATAGCGATAATCTTATTAGAAAGGGGATTAAAAATAACGGCAACGTGTCAGCATTAGCAAGCAGGGCAGGCAGGCTCACACGTTGACGGAGATTATTTTGCTTTATAAATAGCTGGAAACTTAAAATGCAAAATAAACACAGCGAAGGGCTGTGCCAAGGCAGGTATCACACTGGGAGAGGAGCCCTCTCCTGCAGCACTCGCAGCCCTGCACATAAAGCGGCATTTACGGAGCCGCACGCTACGCGGCTGCGATGAGTCTCGCTATTGAGAGAACAGAAACTCCCTGAAGTTTCTGCTTTTCCACCCTGTTTCCAGCTCTTTTGCTCCAGAGGGAAATTAAAAAAAAAAAAAAAAAGACAGCAGCAAAAGGGGGACTGTCGCAAATGCGGCGATGACGGATGCTTTGAGCCTGGGCAAGGCTCCAGTTCGCCTATTTCTACGAGCACTCGTTCTCCATGCAGTAAAAAATATAGGGGTGAGGGGGAAACAAGACACCCTGTGCTAGGGAAATAAAGCACTTTCATTGGAAACTTCAGCATTAATAGCACTTTTCACCCTCACTATATAACAACCTTTATTCTAAGGGAACTCCACGTGTCGGAAAACCGTCCGGGATCCCCCCTTCTCCTCGGAGGAACAGGACTGGCTGTATTCCCCTCGCAGACAGCAAAGCCGCGGCGCAGAGGAGGGGACGGGGCCCAGGCGCGCGGGGCGGGCGGCCAGCGCTGCCCACCCACAGCGCCGCTGGAAACCGCCGCAGAACATTCCCTTCCCAAGCAGGGCCGGAGGACGGGAGCGCTCCGGAGAGCAGAATCCACTCGTGGGTAGAACAGGAGCCAAACGTGGGGTCATTTCCCCCAGTCGGAGATGGAGCACGGGATATCCAGGGTGAAAGCTGTTTTTCTTTTTTTTTTTTTTTCTTTTTTTTAAGGGAGGGTTTGTTGTTATTTTAGGAACCTCATCACCATCTCGGCCGTGGCCAGCCCCTACCCTTGTAGCAGAGGTTGTTCTGGCAGCCTCCCCCGTAGCGTGGCGGGCACTCGGAGCAGGGGCGGCCGTTCTTGTATGGGGCTTCCCCGATCCAGTTGCCCCTGGAAGCACAGGAGAGAGAGCAGCAGGTCAGGGATGAGCCACAGAAAGTCTCCACTCCGCCCCATCCCGGGGGTCAGGATAACACCGGACACGTGGAAGTCACCCGTTTCCCTCATCCCAGTTGGTCCTCGCTGACGCGCACTTGCCCTTGGCTCTCTCCTTGCCTTTCGCCAAAGCCACCGGAGCCACAAGTCTCCCAGCGTTTTCTCCAGCTCTGTGGCCAGGCCGGAGCACAGCTCTTTCCATTTAAAAGCTGTCCCAGTTTTCCATCTGGAACCGTTTGCCAGCAGAAAAGCGCATGGCTCAACACCAGCAATGTGAGCGCCCTGGGCTCCCAGATCATCTGGGACCACAAGAGGACTTGGCACTTTCTCCTTGCCCAAACCGGCCGTCTCTGAGCCCCTGACTTGGCTCCAAACCTTGGCTCCTGCCCTGGCCTGGAGACACTAAGCAAAGAGCAAGGGGAAGCGGCGCAAGGACAGCGATGCCCTGGTTGCGCTTCCGAGAAGACGCCGTCTTCAGCGTTTACTTAACAGAATTGCAGGTCCTTATGCACATAAGTAACATCACCTCCGTGCTAAACTAATACAAATACTGCGGTCTCGTGCAAATAGATGCAAGTCAAGGATGACTGAATTTTCTCAAGAAAGTCCCCAGAAGCCAAAGGTCTCCGTGTCGCAAACACGAGGGGCCGGGGCAGGCAGCGCTCAGCCCTGGGGGTTATTGCTCCTGCAGCCGCCTCCACGGGCAGAGCGAGCTGAGGACAGCGTGTGCCCAGGCCAGCGAGAAGAGACGGAGCCGGAATGGCAGGAATAGAGTATTTTTCCATGCAGCAGCCCTGCGTGGATGACGCACGCAGGAAGCCATCCTCCAAAGGGGGCTGATCCTGGATGAGGATCCCGCTTTCCCCCCGTTGTCACCCCGTTAACCCTCAGGCACTTGCCAAGCTGCTCCATTTGCATTGAAGCGATTTCCCTATCTCTTTTCACTGCTCTGTCAGTGAAACACCTCTCACACAAGCCATTAAAACAGAAAAAGTTAATTGCAGCTGCCAGCAGAAGGCAGGAAACATATTCCAGATGTAGCACTCACAGGTTTTACACACGGGCTTCGCCTCTAAGCCTAATCAAACTATGGAGCTGGCTAATCTCAGCTGCTGTGGCTATTGCACGGATCCCGCCACGATCCAGAGCAAGCCGCACTTGGCAGCATCCCCGGCTCCATCCGCACCACCCCTGCTCCTCCTTCCCATGGCCCCAGCTTCAAAGCCCGGCCTGGCCCCAGCCCCTCATTCAGTTTTCCAGGCTCCGGGCTGCAGTGGAGAAGAAAAAATAATAATAATTTAAAGCCGCAAGCAGCAGCGCAGACTGCCCGAAATCTCCTCGTAGTCGCTTACTTGGGCGAGTAGTTGCAGACCAGGTAGACGGCGTTCTCCCACACCTCTCCCCAGACGTTCATCTGCTTGCAGACGTTCACGGCGCAGCCGATCCGGTTCGTCGTGGCCCAGACTATCTGCAGAGGCAGCGCCGTTAGGTGACACGGGCCCCGCTGCCGCAGCGGGAGCATCCGAGCGCCCCGTCCGCCTTACCTGGGTGTAGTGGGTGCACATGGACCCCGTGCACCTCTCCGGGCACCAGGGGTTGCATTCGTGAGGGTAGGGGTACGTGTAGTCCTTCACCTCGTCGTACCAAGACTGCACGTGGAAGGCTGGAGAGCGGTACCTAGAGGACCAAAACCATCACAGGTCAGAGCACCGGCCTCCGCGAGGGGCTTGCAAGCAGCATCTCCTGGTGTGTTGCAACTGCAAGGTTGCAACACGGCTTTGACTAGCTACACGCAAACCAGCTGAAAAGTTTCTCAAGTTCCATTCGTTGAGAAGCTGTTACCCAAAAAATAAAAAAATAAAAAAAAAACCCTCAGTAACATGGTGGTATGAAGAGGAAAAAAAAAAAGAAAGAAAAAAAAGTTAAGGCTATTTCTTTCCCCAAATTCACAGCCTGGTCTGACTACATTATTTATAGGTTTGACACTCTCTTCAAATGTCGCTGACCTGAAATGTCCTCCTGGTTTTTCCACTCGATTACAAAAAACTTCTAGCTTGGCAGAAAGGTGTGTTTTGAAAGTAAACAGAAGTTAAGGCCTGCCAAACATCTTAAGCTGAAAGCCATCGTGTACCTATTTTACCACGAGGTGATCTGCTAAATCTGGAGGCACATTTGCAGCTAACACCGTAAGGCCTCAGCAAATGGAATAGCTTTTTCACACTCACATCACACCCGTGTTAGTGCAGTTAATGCACCAGACACAGTCCCCACCTCAGAGGTCCCCATGCACTGCACAGACTTTGCACAAGCTGCACGCAAAATATAGCAGATATTGCACCCTGGGGTGCTACTGATGCTGCTTGTGCTTATCTGGGGACAGGCTTGGAGTTACAGTTTCCTAGAGGAAGTCGCATGCATTTTGCACGCTACATCCCCAAGGAGCAAACAGGGCAACCTGCAAATCCCATGTCAAACTAGAATAGCTTCAAAGCCACTGCGTTTTAGTGCTTTCAAAGGAAAAAAAAACCAGCCAGAAATACAAGTGACATCATTATGAACTACAGTTTGTTCTTTCAGCCAGCTCTTCATTAAAAATCATTAATTAGAAGGCCTTTAAAAACATTAATCTCAATGATGTGATTAAGTGAATACTTTCCGAGTCCTATTTTACAAAAGAGGAAATTGAGACAATCAAGTTATGGCCTATTCCTGGAAATAAAAAAAAAAAAAGAGAGAAAGAGAGAGATAAATATGATTTCTTTTTCCTCTCAGTGATTGCAAAGGGAGCAAGATTGGATGTAACTCCATCAGTAACTATGGCCATGTTGAAAGCTTGCAAGAGAGCCAAGAACAGCCCGATCTTTTGACTTTGTTTCCAATGGATTAACCACTCTACTTTCCAATCATTTTTTAAATCTGCCAGCAAAAATGGGCCCAGTTTTTATATCAGGCTAATTTCACACCAGCAAATTTCCATTGTTTTCAACCAAGTTCTACCTGATTTACAGCAAGCACAACTGCATTTCAGTTCATTAGGGTTTCTGAGCACGTACAAAATGTTTGTTTTATGAAGCAGGCTTAACCTATAACAGGCTTGACAATAGGATCTCAATAATAAACACTTCACCTTGGTATGGAGAGACAAAGCCATTTGGAAGATTTAACGCAGTCATCCCTAGCTGCTTTAACAACCCTAGGTTAGAAACATTCCCCAGAAGGATGAAACAAACTGCAAAGTGGTTTTAGTAAAGAGAAACTAGGAGCTGCATAAATATTTATGGGAAACATGGTGAGAGATATCCAAAAGATTTACAGCTCTAAGTGCTGAATGAGCAGCAGCATCCAGACACCGTTCCTGAGAAACTCCCGTTTTCTGCTGGCTCCCAGCGTGCTGCCAGAGCTATCCCTGAAGCAGCCCTGAGGAGCCAGGGTGCTGGGTTCAGTAGCTCTTCTTAATGGGCACGAGTGACCTTGGGCACGTCATGACCTGGCATGGAGAATATGAAGTAACTGGAATCAGAGCTGGTTTGGTGGGAATGCCCAGCTGAAAGGCACTGAAGATGCTCTGAGATTTCCCATTTCACTGAAGTAATAGCTATTGCTCGTCACCTTTTCTCCTATCTCCCCAGTGCTCTGTTAAGCAGTGACCAGGCAAACTTTTCACACTCAGGTAGGGTCTGTAAATTACTCTTTGTGACTTCCCAACTCTTACCTGCCCCAGTGAACCGCCAGGTTCTGTCCAATAGACCTGATGAGGGCACTAGGCCCGTGATCCCAGATGCACTGCTGAGCCCAAGCATGGGCCGATCTTTCCAACTCATCATCCCAGGTCTGTGAAGGATAGGGAAAGAAAAGAATGGGTCAGTTTGTCCTAATCACACTTACTAGATAAACCAAGAGCAATTAATGGAGAAAGAGAAACTAAACTACAACTCCCCATTGGTGTCTGGCCTATCGTTGTGAAACCAGCATATTTTATTGTGCCATGACCTAAGAAAATATTTTTTGAGGCAGCTCCTCCCACAAAAACGGATGGCACAAAACCTTGTGGGGTCTTGTTTTGTTTTTTAAGCTTCTTCATACCATGATTCCTTGGAGATGCTTTGCTGGAATAGTCAACAGATCTGGCAGGACCTCCAGTCCATCTAGACCACCCACTCCACGTTTTTCCAGCTTTAATGTCAGGACATTTCCTGGTTTACCCATTAAATCATAATTTCAGCAATGGAAGTACTCCTGCACTCCACTATGCACATAACTGGATATTTATGACACAAATTCCTAGGCAATTATGCACTTACTACGTCTGTAACTACCACCCCTGATGGACACAGTCAAAGCTGACAGAGGTGGCAAAGTCTCAGAGCTGTTAAACTAGTATCACTTCCATTAAAACAGGCAGGTTAGAAAGCAACAGATCCCATCAGCACTCCCACTGAGGGAAAAACGTCAGCATGAGATAGTCCTCATTGAGTATCACCCAAATATAACCCAAACTGGAGGTCAAATATGACACAAAAGCAAATAAGAAGCCAGAGTTCTTGGTTCCAATACCCAGGGGTATATTTTTTTTAAAGGCCAGACTTGTTGGACTGGGTAGGTAGCGCAATGTTGGACCTGGTAGATAGTGCACTGACTTCATTGTTTGATTACTGGCAGATGGTCTATTCAGAAGAGTCCTGAGAGGATAATTTGTTGAGGCTAAAATATTACTGCACATTCCTACAAATAGAGAAGGGGGGCCTTGTAATGATTCTCTGCTCATTTAGACACCAGTGCAAGATTATGTCCTTTCTCGACATTTACTATCATAACCGGTTGATCTTTCCACCTTCTCTCTTCTCCACAAGAGCAACTTATGATCTCAAACATATCCAAGAACCTGTCGGAGCCCATTTGGAGGAACAGAAGGCATTAAGACTCTCAAGCACATCATAAAAACACCGCGTTCGTGTGCCAGATAAGCACCTGAACATGGTCTCAGGCAGTTATAACCAGAATGGGGAAGGACCAGATCTCTGGCTAGGACAGCAGGAAGACGCAGCGTCTCCTGGAACTCAGTACGTCTACGCTATCCTTGGAAGGCAAACGTGAGCTCATCGAACCAAGGTAACAGCCCAAACCTCCGGGGACAGCTTATCATAAGCACCCTCAGCAACCCAAATTCCAGCAATAGCCCGGAGTTACTCCGGGCTTATTAGCTTCGCTTTGAATTGACCAGTGGCCAACCAGATTCATGTCAGACTGCAAAAATCCATGTGGACACAGCTCCAACAAACAGAGGTGACAAAACCATTTTCCTTTTCAGCCCTCCAACTGAGGGTGTACAGGATCTGACCCACCACACGCATATTCTAAACCTTGTTTAGAGCAGACTATTGCGATCGTGCCGAGACACACAGCTTCTTGTGGTCTCCTGATTTCCGCAGCCAGCAATGACCTGCCACAAACCACCTTCCAGTCCAACACATAAGCTATAAAACTCTCCCAAGACGTTATGTACGACTTATACTTTAGACCATCTAGAAGAGCATTATTTCCTGCAGCCTCAGAGATGGACATGTTCCAAATCTCTTAATTTAATGCAGAGACATTACGAGCAACAGGCCAGTAAGTTGAAATTGATGTGATTGGGAATTACGTCTTTCTTTGATGCCTGTGAACACGGACCAAAGATACTCAAAGGACTATTGGGAATGAGCTACATCTTTGCATGGCTTTGTGCCTGATGAATAGGGAAGCTCGTTTCTGCAGGCATTAGATTACAAAGTCATCCCATTTAAATTAGAGCTGTTATTTGTTTCTTGCTTCTCAGACATGAATGTGCTCAGGAGTCTGGAATTATTTCAGAGCAGTAAGTGTATCAAAAAAATAGATTTCAGTTTCTCCCAGCTATGCTTGCAAGAACCCTTTATGCCAATATTCAAAGCAGCATCTAGGAAGAATATTGAAGCCAGTGCTGCAGCATATATCTGTGCTCAGAGTCTCAAGTCCACTCTATGACAATCAGGCAAAACTCATGCTGACTATTTGGAAGAGAAGTGCATGGCATGAAACGATTCTGGGCATCAGTCTAAGTTTATATTCACCTTTTCCTCCTTCATGCTGTGGTTTTCTCTTGCCAGACTGCTGCAGTCATAAGCAGCTACCTTGTTTGGAAAATACCAACCCTGTCTACATTAGTGAACTCTCGACTAGAGGTTCTGAAGAGCCTATGGCAGGGTGTGATTCCGACTGATTTAGTCAGCAGACTCTTTTTTTATTATTATTATTAAGTCCTGGAAAGTTGTAATGCCCTTTCAAAGTAGTACAGTATATATTCTACATGTAAAAAATAGGCATGGCATATACCATATACTACAGGCAAGTCATATACCATACTACAGTTTGTAGGTTCAGATTTAATAAGAATGTGAATGTATCCCACAAGGAGTCTGTTTAGTCATTGACTAGCTTGTAAAACCAACCCTAGACCTGAAATGCTGTCTTAATTCACTCAGCATTGGCATGATGAAGTTACTCCCTCATTTTTCTCCACAACTTGGACTTCTCTGAATCCTGGCAGTTTACACTTAAAAGTGGTGTAAAAGTTCAGGACTGGCATGTATTAGTAGAAGCTTGGACGTACTTTGTTAACCCCCACAAAAGTATTATTCCACCTTGATAAGAAAAGTCACCATCCTATAGTGAAGAGGAAAGATGGGTACCTTATACTTGAAAACAAGCCATTTTCCTTACAGAAATCTACACTGAGAAGTACACCGAGAACAATTTCATTTTTTCCATCTTTGAGGCCTCCACTTGAGGCAAAATTTCTGCCCTTCATCACTGCTGGAAGCCACCTGACTAAGCCATCTTAAAAGGTCAAGGATGTCTTAGGAACTATTAGATATTTTTCATTCCAAGTCCATTAACCGGGAGTTTGTTTTGGTCTTGGCTCTAGTCCACTGTCATGACTACTGTTATATAAGACAAACATCCAATGGAAGAGTAAGTAAAGCTGCCCTATGGTTAAGGTTATATTTGACCCACTTTTATGAAGATATACATTGCTTCCATCTGTTCTATAGCAAAGTTTGGAACTCATTTTTCATTAACATGAATACTAGTGCTAGCTTTGAATTAATTATAGTAACCACCCAGCAAAACAGCTTCTTTCTTTATTTTTTCAGTCCACTTTCCCTTTATCCACATGTGTATATGATAATTCTATTGATCTCTAGATATGTCATGAAACTCACTGTGCTATGACTCTTTTATTAACAGCCTCCACTGCCCAAAGTTCTTGTTGTAAGAGATTAAGGTTTCCCTTTCCTGGCCCACGTTAGCTCTGTTTGCCACTTTAGATCACTTAAATGTGTCATATAGAGAGCTGGAAGAAAGGAGCTTCAGAAGCAGCGATGGGAGGTTGATGGCCAAGAACACGTTCTACCCACTCATCCGCAAATCAGCACGCACGTCGCCTGCGATGTTCCCCACCAGAAAGGAGGAACGTTTATCTACAGCACTAGAGACAGACCATTCTCTTAAACACGTCCAAATGAGAAGCGTCCTATGTAGGACAAAGGATTAAAGTGAATTTCACGTTCAGAATATACATGGCGTTTCCAAGTCATATTGGGTAAACACGAATACATGAAAGACTGATTATAGCCCTTCCAAGCAGCACCATTTTATACTCGGCTTCTTTCTTCATGGCATATAAGGCTCTTTCATTTGCCCTAAATCAGCCAGAAAACCACTAGAAAAGCACACTGAGCAAAGACATACATAAAAGAGTAACCATGCTGGATGAGTAAATAGCAGTCGGCCAGTGGACATTCCGCAAATGCAGCCCTTTCAGATCCTCAAAGCCAACAAAAATACATTTGGCTTTCTCATGCTTTGTGTTTACTTTCTGGAAATTAATCAAATCACCTCTTCTCTGGCAATATGTTACAGGGAGCCGGCAGGATAATGTAATAGCCAGCTGAGAGAGACAGACAAAGCAGGAGTTCTTCGAAAGGCATGCGATTTCTGACAAAACTGAAACGAAAGACTAGCGGAGCGAACACTAAAACGATCCAACTAATGAGCAATTGTCCTTTCTCACTGTCCTCTGTTCTCCCTTCCATTTTCCTCTTCCCTAAAACCATAAAAGGCAGAACTTTCCATTTGCAGCATTCATTTCAGCACATAGCAGCAGTTGGCAAACAATCCGATACTATGCTTAATATACTATTTCTTTTAACTTTTAAATACGGTCTTAGCAAATCATTAATCATCTAATTTGTCAACAGGAGCACACAGTTGAAGCCAGGCTAGTTTCTGTCATAATCATAATTGCACACTGGGAAAAGGCACAGAAAATATTATTTGCCTACATCGTTTTCTGGCCCCACAATATTTTGAAGACATCTCAAAAATAGCTCAAAGTAGAGTCTGAAGAAAAACTATTCATCTGAATTGTTGATAGTAAAGGCACGCTTCATACTCCTACTTGAGCATTCTCCCTCTGAAGTGGCAGAACACATTGACCAAACTTTTTTTTTTTTGTTTCCTTGATCCATGAAAAGCCAATAGCACTGATTCACCTAGCCCTGAACTCCTCTGGAGCCTTTCCAAGGAGTTCCATGGATCCAACTTATTTGGAGAAGGAGCCGTGTTCCTTATGGCTTGTCCATGGTGCCAGGCAGACTCCCATCAGCCCTACGAACCCTTGGCTCATATCAACAACCTGCGGTCACCGACATATCATGAACCCATAGGTGCTACCTTCAGGGTTGGGCAGGAGGGGACGGTAACCCAAAGTTGCCCATCATAAATGGGATCCACCGTGGTGATCCAAAACAACAGTTGCAATGGCCTGAAAGCTTTGACAAGGGAGAGCAAAGGTTAAACACTAGGGAAAAATTGATGCTTTTATGACATTAAAGTAATGGAACAACCTGCTGAGGCAGGCTATGGAATTGCCATCTCTGGAGATACATTCAGGGCAAGGCTAGACAGTATTTTATGAATAGTGGAACCAGTTCTGAAACTATGCGGTGGACGGATGAGATGACCCATTAGTGGTCTTTTCCAACCAAAACAATCCAATGACCTAAAGCATCACTCACTGTGGACTGAAACTGCTCCAGGAAACCTCTTGAGAAAAAACTTATTTTAGAGGAAATTTGCTACAATGCTTTCAGCGTAAGAGAAATTAAACAAAGCTTTTTCTTTTTTCTTTTTTTCTTTTCCTTTACAAGAAGAAAGTAAGTTAGGTATCAGGAGTTAGACTCACCATATATTCCATATTAGAGGCTGATGGATAAACTTGACCTCTTAATTTATTGTGGAGCATCAATATCTCCTGTCTGTCTGAAAATAAAATGGCTCTCTTGGATCTGGCATGAGGCTCCTCATCCTGATATTTACTCAAAATGCTCTCCAGGTGACTCGAATTGGGCAAAATAAAGCATTCGGCTGCTGTTGTCAGAAGCAGTAGACATCCAAGAGGAAAGATCCAAGGCAGGGCAGGATTCATGGCTGAAACAGAAGCTGGCAGGGATGAAGGTAAAGCTGATGGATGTGTTTTTCAGTTTCCTCCCAGGGACGTCTAGCTCAGTGCAGGCCTGGAATTTGGGGGAGACAAAGTCAGAATAATGCCAGAAAAAGTTGCCATGTGCATGACCTCGAAGGAAGCCACACCACTCGGATCTTCTTTTTTTAGCATGAGAAAGAGCAATACAAGCAAAGTCTAACCAATTATTGTCCATCCCCATCTTCCATTACAGGAAGGCCTATACAGCCCCATACATGATGGAAAACCAGTTTGTTGTCCTGCCTACACACACCCTAAGCTATGTTTGACCTAGATCATCTTGGAACCACCAACAGCTTCTCCAGGGCAAGCACAGGGACTTTATGGATCTACAGGTGAGCTATCCATGCAGAAGCTCTTCAGGTAAAGCTTTTCCCTCATGCCTGCATGGGAGGAGAGAGGACAAACTGTGCCATGTGATGGGAATTCCATAGGACACAGCAAAACTCCAACAGGACGAGGGTTTGCTGGCGGTTCAGGCTCGGTGGTGGAGCTGGATGCCTTCTCCTGCGAATGTGCCGTACCGCAGCCTTCGCATGCAGGAGCTCCAAATAATCCCAGCTCCAGGCTGTGTCCCATCGCGGGTGGGAAAGGGAGACATTTTCAGTGAGGGTTTGCTGGCGGTTCAGGTGCGGTGGTGGAGCTGGACGCCTTCTCCTGCGAATGTGCCGTACCACAGCCTTCGCATGCAGGAGCTCCCATCGCGTGTCCCATCGCGGGTGGGAAAGGGAGACATTTTCAGCTCTTTCCTCACCAAGGAGACCAGGGACACACAAAAGGGAAAGCAAATTCCGCCGGGGGCCAAGGGCCGGGGGTCAGACGCGAGCGAGAGCTATTTCTGCGGCCGGGCCCTGCCAACGCACTCGGCCGGAGCGGCTGCCACCGCCCGAAACGAGGCTGGTTGTGAGAAACGTCACCGTCACGCGAGGGAGCGGGGCGGCCGCGTGGACACCGCTCCGGCGCTGCCGCCCGGGATGCGGAGCTGGAGATGGATCTGGCTGAAAAGCTGCCGTGGGTTGGGGTCCCTGGGCTGAGCTTTGTCCCCGTGCTCTCCCTGGGCACATGTGCTGCGCTCCTCCTGCTCCACCTGCTTTTCCCAACCCGCTCCTCTCTTCCCTTCCCTGATGCACCTTGTGCATCCCAGCCAGGCCGACCAAGATCCGAGGTTTCCAGGGGGTAAATCCTTGCTGTTGCACATCCCGAGGTCACCTAGTCCTCTATGCGCACAATTCCAGAGCTGCTGGATTGGCCTCAACCCACCCTGGGACAGAACCATCCGCACAGCCTACGGGGACCAGGCACGTGCAGCATCTCCCTCCTCAAGTCGCCCTTTGGAGCAAGGCTCCCCATCCCCATCTTTACTGCTAGCTGAACATCTAGCTCTGTGAGCTCTTCCAAGAGACAGATATGCGAAGGGGTAGGGAATTAACCCCAGATTAGTGGAATTATTCTGAGTTTCAGCCCAGTGTCTTGGGTAGAGCCAGGCTGGGAGGTGCTGAGCGAGGTGCACAGCTCCCCCAAACCCCTGGGTTCATAGGGTGACTGTGAGCAAAACCTGAAGCCAACAGTACTTGAATCCCTCCTCCTCCTCCTCGCTGGCATCGGCCTCTCCGCGAGCGCCAGCCCGGCTCGCTAACCTGGGGCAGCGCGGGAAGGAGACAAGAAACCGAGCGGCCGCTTTTGCAGACAGCCTGACCCAAATTCAGGGAACAAGCCCTGCGCCGAGGCGCTTCCCGGGCATTAAAAATAGCCGCTCCGCCGCGGCCGCGCACAATGCGGCCATTTAGCGGCCGCGGAGCCGGAGCCGGCGCCTGTCCCCGTGCCCAGGTGCAAGGCAGCGCTCGGGCTCATGTTGGAGCTCAGCACGTCCCAGCACCCTGCGCATGGCAATGCACCCCCGGACACAAGTGCAGTTCCCCTAATTGGGGCAGATGGGAAGCTCCCTAATTGCTTTTTCATGGTGTTCGATATCGCTCAGGGAATCGCAGCAGCTGAGAGTCAGCTGAGCGAACCGGCGCCGCTGTTCCAGGGCTCCAAAAGAAGCGGCAGCGCCGCCTCGCTCCAAAGCCCTTGATCCGGCCGCCAGGTAAACATCTGGGAGCCATCAGGAAGCAGTGAGTCGGCAGAAAGCGGCTCTGGAATACGCTCCGGAGCGGGCGGCAAGGGGGCGAGGGGGAGGCGAGATGCTGAAATCTGAGGAAGTTAGAAAACGGCACTGGACTTCAAAAAAATATATATTATTTTTAGAAAGTTATTTCCCAGACTGATGGACAGCGTCTGGATTTCTCCGTGAGCAGAAGAGCTGGCATGGAGCTTAGCGGCTGGCATGGGCAGGCTCCTTCTGCATTTGATTACGTCCTCACTTCACCCTAATACCTTGCAGCTATTGATCTGCCTCACTGGCTAACTATAAGAGATGGGCTTAACCCTTGGATGCGGGTGACATTTGCAGCAAATCCAGCCAGGGCGCTGTGACACTACACAGGGAACGAGCAGCCAGTGCCAGAAAACGCGGCAGTTAGCAGAGGATGCCAGCAAAGCCTGGGATCAGCTTGGAGCCTGTGCAAATAAACTCAGGGATAAAACCACAAGCTATCTCAGGCATCAAACCCGAGGTGCTCTGTTTAAGCAGGATGCACACGCATTTACAGCTGCAAAGAATTGCTCTCTCGGCTTCAAAAATAGAAAAGAAAAAAGTGAAGCAACAAGTTTTGTGATATGGGATATCATATTGTTTGCTCAGAGAGCAGTAAAGATCCAGCAGCTTCCAGGACATGGACAAAACACCCACATCCCTCACTATCCCCCACTGCAGCAGGATCCAAGTGGGTGACTTCCTACGTAAAACACACCAAAACCTACACAAAACAGACACAAGCTGTGACACCATCACAAAAAAATCCCTCCTGAGTTAATTTCTAGAGCAGAGCTGCATAAACACAAGGCTGCTTGGGGATGACTCGCTGTTTCCATAAGCAGCCGAGTATCAGAGCCTGCTGCAGCATCCTGTAGGTATTTGTATAAAGTCTGCTCCAGCATTAACCTCCTTTTCCCATTCATTCCAGATTAATGCGGAATGATCTTGAGTTAGTCACTGCAAAGTTCACGTTGGTGAAGTTCAGGCAGCACGATGGTATTTTATGCTGTGCATGCAACTCATTGGAAAAGTTCCTAAAACGGTGCACACCAAACCGAGACACTTCTCACACACGCACAAACCCCCATCTCAGAAACAGGGACTGCAAAACTCGTCCTTACCTTGCCGAGCGCTTTGAGTCGTGGGGAAGCTGCAGCTGCTCCCAGCCTGTTTGTAGAAAAATGAATTATAGACCCAAAACCTGGGAGGAGGAGGAGGGGGAGAGGATGCAGCAAGGCTGAGGAGCGCAGGGAGCGCCGGGGCTCGGCTCGGCGGCTCCGACCAAGTGCGGTCTCACAGAGCTCCCCAGTGGTATTTATGCTCTCCAGGCAGAGGACAGCGCTGGATCATCCCGCTTGGCTTGGGGCCTGTTCTTAATGAAGGAGAGGGGGGAGGAAGAAAGGGAAAAGAGGAGGAGGCAGGAGCAGGCAGCGGGGGAGCGTCACTGCGCTAAGAGGGGGCTCCTTGTGCGGCGGCAGCCGCGCTCGGGCAGCGCAGGAGCATCCTCCCGGCCTGACGCCCGGCCGACGGGCTCGGGAGGGAGCGAGGAGGCAGCAAAGGGGGTTTCTGCAGGGCAGCTCCCATCTCACTGGCCAACTCCAGCTGCCTTCCCGGCCGGGGGAGCCGCCGAGGACGGGAGCAGGAGCTGCCGGAGCGTTGGGCACCGCTCACCTCCCCGAGCGTGTCCGGCGCCCGCGGCCGCACGTGCGGCACCGGAGCACGGGTCACTCCTGCTAAAGGAAACGGTTGCTAAAGGCAAGCGGAAAGAGCCTGTTCTCCTTTCGTGGTTGTTTTCAATAAACAGAGAAACACTGAGGGGGGCATCCATCGATGCCCGAGCTCCTGGTGGGGAGGGTTGCGGGATGGAGCCGGACGCTGTGGGGCCGAGCTGGGATCCTGGGGCAGAGAGATCTTGGGAGCTTTCCCAAAATATTGTCCGCTCTTGTGTTTAAGTTCTTGGAAGATCATCCTTCCATTCTTCTAAACACTAAATATTTGTTCCGTTCAGCAAGACATTCACCAGCCTTATTTACTGTTTACAGAAATGAAGCTTGTGTGATATTCCCCCAAGAACTTCCCCTTTGCTGCCTTGCTTGGGCTCCAGCAGCCTGTGAGAGGCAGAAGGACATTTATCAAAGGTGTTAAATAACACCCGAGCACATACGCAAACCCTGGAAGCCGATACAGCAGCGCCACAGAACACCCCTTAAGCCACATCTACCACCACGGGTCTGCTCATCCCATCTCCACCACCTTTTCCCAAGGAGAATCCTTGCAGAGGAAACAGGCTCTCAGCACCTGGCATGTTTTCTGCAGTTTCTGATGGGCATCCTGGTGAATCGATGATAGTTGTGCAGAGAGCCCCGGTGATGGTTCCCTCTGCTTTATCCTGGATCACTGAGTTTGCTCCCTTCACTACCTGCAGCATCCACCAGCTTCCCAAGCCACTGCTGGTACCGAGGAGCAGTTCCCGGGAATCCGTCGTGTCCCATCGCGGTCCAGGTCCCCAGGGAGTCTGGCCCCTCCAGCGCCCAAAGGAATCGCATCCAGCTTTGGAGCACTGAGTCATCCGCCTCAAAAGGTGCTCTTCATGGGAATTACCAGAAAATTGAATTAGCTCATTTTAAATATCACATACCAACACACAAATTATTTCCAGATTGTGGAGAAACCTGGCATTTTGCAATCCCCACAAATGCTCCTTTGGGGAATTAATCCCTGTAGGAAGGTCAAGACTGTCTGAATTCTCC